TCCACCAGCAGCATAAGGGAGAAAATTGGAAGGGCACAAAGAAAACTCATGGGTTGAGATAAAGACAGTTTAATAGGCAAAGCAAAAGCTGTGCTCACAAAGAAAGCAAAACAAGGAATTCATTCACTGCTTCCCAAGGGCAGGCAGGTGAGCAGGTCCCATCATGGGTAACAGTGACTTGGGAAAACAAAGGCCATCACTCTGAACATCTAGCCTTTCCTCCTTCTTCCCTTCATCTTATATACTGAGCACAATGTCATATGGTATGGAATATCCCTTTGGTCAGTTTGGGTCCGCTGTCCTGATTGTGTTTCCTCCCAATTTCCCTTGCACCCCCAGTCTCATCACCAGTACGACAGTATGAAAAGCAGAAAAGACCTTAGCTCTGTGTAAGCCCTGCTCAGCAATAACAAAAATATCTCTATATTATCAATCCTCTGTTCAGCACAAATCCAAAACAGCCCAATAGTAACCACTGTAAAGAAAATTAACTCTATTGCAGGCAAAACCAACAAAACTGTTTTGTTGTACTGATAAAGAAACAGTTAGCCTTGGAAGTTTTTGATCACTAATGATTCAGATTTTGAGCACAACATCAAGAGCAAGAAGATGTGTGAACATTCTCGGTTTATTTTTAAATCTTTGAGATGTCCAGCACCGGAAGCAGCTTTTAGATCACCTAGCCATTTAATGTTTTACAGGTGTTTTGAATGAAGTAGGAACATCTATTTATACTTCTGTCAACTGAGTACATGCACTTGAAGGTATGTGATGACAGCTAGCCTTCAGTATCTATAAAATGTCTGTGAAAAGGCATGCAGATGCACATGATTTATTATTATGGATTAGGGGTGACCTAATCAGTAAAGACCATTTCAGGCATCTTTTGGGAACACTGTCAGGACCTTAAATGCAGTCACACTTCAGTTAGTTTGCAAAGTCATGGTAAATCTGCCATTCTCCAATTTATTTGGATTATTTGAATCCTGTCAACCTACACTGAGCTTTCATGGTTCCTTTTTCTCTCCTATGTGTTTTTGGTTTTGCTGGGAATATCTCTGGCCTTGAGCAGGTTCCCTGGGCTGGTGAAAGAGATAAAAATCTGAAAATGCTTAACTTTGGTGTCTCAGAGAGGTTAATTTCTTTTTAGGCTAATACATTTCAAACAGGATTACATGATGTGGGAACATATTTAATGTTCAATTTCCTTGTCAGAAGTGATTCAATGCCTAGAAGTATTTAGATGCTTTGAAAGATTTGATTCAGTGTATATACAAGTACCCAAAAATATATTCTTGTGAGTGCAGGAATTTTTAGTGGAGTCGGTTTTATGTTACCCAAAGTAGTGCATTGTGGATGTAGGAGAATATTGCAAGGGAATTCAAAATTTTGCTAAATGGTGTCCGCCATTTAGTACTGACAAAAAAGTGTCTGTATCTTTCCATGACATTTGCCCAAGGGATTAGAGAAAGAAAAAAAAAAAGAAAGATCAGTGCTTTGATGCTGGCAAACTAGTGCTAGAGAGCTTATCACACACAGCCCAATCGATTCCTGAAAGTGATTTTCTGGGTAAGAAAGTTCTGGCAGAACAACAAAAGAATGGGATAGAGTGAAGATTTGTTTGTTTTTATAATCGTACTTATTCACAGAAAGAGAGGGAACTTACTATGGAACTAAATAGAGAAAAAACTACGGGACAAAAACATACAATTCTACAATATGTCTAGAAAAGGTTTAAAGAAAATTCTCCCCGCCTATAAGAACTTTAAAAGATCACCAGACTATATAGCACAGGAACAAAACATGAGCAGAGAATGGGACTCCTCCTTCCTCTCCAATGTGCTTCAACTCAGGCCCTAGACTGGTCAGTTTAGGGGATTCATCCCATTTCAGTGCACAGCTAATCATCAGCAACTTCTCTGTAAATGTTCAAAGAAATGCATTTTACTGCCATCTGTGATCTGTGCTCTTCTCAAGTTGGAACAAGAGAGCAGCATCACCTTTCCTTTGTAGTCATGAATATGCTGCTATAGAATAAAGTGGATTCATATGGATACAGGTCTGCCATGGACTAGATAGGAATAATTTTGCATTCCAGTACCTATTTCCAGTACCTATTGTTTCTAGTCATGGGCACATCAGACAGTTATGTCCTAAATCAGTAAATCCAATTTCCTGCTATCTCAGTCCCATCACTATGCGTAATCCCTTTCATGATTAAGCTACTCTTGTTTAAAAGAAGTACTTGTGCTGAAATAGGGCAACTGGTCCGTCACAGCCTTCAGCACACAATTGCTTGATTCTGCTGCTAAATAGATGAAAATATGTCTCTGATGCAGAACGTCTCCGGGAAAGCAGACAGGAAACATGTTCACTGAAATAGCTCCTCAATCCAGTCCACGCCCATCAGGCATTGCCACACTCATGCAGTAGTGTGGTCAGAAATCTGATGGAGGCCAAAAGCTGCCACAGAAGTTAAAAGCAGAAACAAGACACGCAAACTAGACTTGTCTTTTAAGTTGCTCCCTGAATCTGCAAACTATTTGAGGGTAAAAGCACAGAATAATGCACAGCTCCCACCTGGCACAGTGAAGCTGGAGACCCTCAGTGGAGTCACTGCTGCTGCTGCTGTTACACTGTGAGGCAGAAAATCTAGATGGAAAAGTCTCCTCTTTGTTGCCCTGTGTGCTGTTGGTAGCAGTAAGTCACCTACTGAATACTGAAGTAGTTTTCTCAAAACTGTCTAGTCTAGCTGGATGAAGAACATCGAGTCCATTGTAGTCAATATTAATGTTACACTGAAAAAGAGATTAGGATCTTGTAATTCTTTTTAGTATTCAAAAAGGTAAATATCCTCACAAAGTCATACAGGAACTCAAAACACTCAAAGCCTTTGAAAACTCACTTTAATTAAGAGACCCAAATGAAGAATAAGGTATTTCCCCTGAGTTTTAAGACTTTGTAAGGTTGGTTTCTAAAAGTCTGTTCTATGTGTTTTGAAGTTATATCAATGTTAGTTTTGTTTATCTGTTCTGGGCTTGGCAGAGGGAAATTTCCAATTATCTTTTTCTTTTTTGGTTTTGGTTGTAGTGGGTTTTTTGTTTTGTTTTTTGTTTTGTTCCAGAAGCTGTACTGCATCATAGACATCACCTAATTTTATCAAATGCCTATAGGTCAGGGATCTGGCATGTATCATTTCACCTCTGAGAGGATATTGCCAGTAAATGTAGTTCTAGTTTATACTTAAGAATGGATGTTGAGATGACTCAAAACTTCATGATAAATTATAAATTACAAGTGAACTTTAAAAATGTGATTTGGCAAAGATACCACATGTTTTGTGTGTTACAGTATGGTACTCAGTAGCTGAAGAGGCAATCAGCAGCTCTTCAGTAGGGAATGGTCAAGGAATATAGCATGAGCTACTTTTTAAAATATGATAGAACATATTTATTCTCTAACAAAGATCTATCAAGTTTCACTTTCTATATGAACCCATAACTGGAGTGACTTTTTGTGGACATAGACAACAAAGGGATAGTGATACAATAGAATAATTGTGATACAGCAGAACAATAGGAAAATAAAAAGAAGCAGTAGCACTGTGTAAGCAGGACAAGGGGTCAGGATATGTGGATGTTGACCAAAGCTCTGCATATCAGTCTCTGTGTAATTCTGGGAACACCATTTTTATCACTGCTTCTCACTGTGAAAATGTAGTACATGCAAAATTATTGTGAAGTGCAATTCATGCTTGTGAATGCTTAGACATCTTGAAATCTGCAGTAATACATGTTTTTTTTAAATTCAGTTCCTCTTTCCAGGATTTTAAATTTAAATAAAAGATGACTTCTTTAAGCAAGTATAATCTTTTTGCATATCAAACACTCAATGACTGCTGAATCCTGCAGTTTGATTTGGGGGTTGATCCTGTGAAATGTGCTTTGGTCCTAATGCAATAAAATGTGCATGAGTCTATTTAAGCATGAACCTTATAGTGATTGCCCTTTCACTTAAAGCAAGAATTTGCTCAAGCACTCAGCAAATTGAAACCTAAGTACTTATAAACCAGCAGATTTAATACCTGTAAGCACTTTTACTTGTGAGATACATTTTCATTTATAATCCTTTGAAAGTATTCTCATATGTCAAATTCCAAATCTGACTTCAAATAACACCTTCAGTATTGGGGTGTTTCCTCACAGAAACAGAGGAAGGACTACGTCCTCATTCACTCTTCTAACTGTATCAGCTAGCATAATTAAAAATAACACTCTCCCCTTTAAAGGATATTTTATGCAAGTCAACATATTTAAGAAAAAAACATGAGCTTGAGGTTATAGAATCTAACTTTATTTCACATTCTGAAGCTTCCAGAATGCTTGTAAAACATTCATTTCAGATGTTGTGAAAACAAGTTTTAGGCATCTGACAGCCAGACTGATTATGCACCAAACAATCTGTGTTTTTAATCTCCCTAATTCAGGGCACATAAAAATGTTTTGGTACTGGGTACAGATTTCAGGAGGAAAAGAAATACAGTACATTTAAGCTTCCCTTTCTATATTGTTTACTAAATACAGTGTAATTAATATAAGTGATAATATGCTGTGGAAAGTTCTACTGTGATGTAATGCGCATTTACAATTCAGAAGTAAGAATTTACTCATCTAAAATTATTTCACTCTCGAGGAACAAGCAGTTTGGGCCAGCTGGGTACACACCTGGTAGGCCAAATTTTCTCTTCTGTAGTCCATCAAACCAAATAAGCAAAGGGAGCAGGCTTGAATTCTACTTTTCATAGGCAGCTAAGAATGGGCGGCATCACCTATTCTGTAGCAAGAACACCATGAACATACTTGTGCATGCAATGAATTTCACCAGACTCAGAAAAACTCTAAATTAAAAAAAGAAAAAACAACAAAAACAAACAAACAAAAAAAAACCAACCGAAAAAACCACCAAACAAACAAAAAACCCCACCAAAAAAAACCCACAATCTTTTTTCTTAAGAGGACTATTATTTTAAGTCTGTAGCCTGTGATCAGCCAAATGCAGTTTTACAGTCTGATCAGTAAGTCCTTGGTGTGCTAGAACCCACAGTGTCGGCAGTGAAATGCTCTGTAAACTCTGTAAATGATTGTTCCTCTAGCAATGACACATATATCTTCAGAAGGAAAAATGTTGCGCACTAAAAATAAAACAACGAAAGCCAGTCAGTAAATATGTGCAAAATAATTTGCCTTTACAACGAGGAATGTTTTTTTACATCAAATATTGCTTGTAAGCTCAATGTTTCTAGCATTATTTGCAAATGGTTCAACATTGGACTGGAATATTGTGTTTCAGAAATCAATGCCAGTGCTTCTTGAGGGATGCTGAGCTCAGCAAAGGGATGCATGCTGCCAGCCTCCGAAAGCCTGGAAAGTAAGATTTTAAGCATTTTGCCCATTCTCAAAAGCTGTTGAATCTTTGTCCCTCCCAGAAGAGAGATGAGAACTCTCTACAAAAGCCCCCTCAGAATCAGAGTCCTGTGGCTGGTAGTTGCCCAGGCCTTTTAGAAACAACTGGCTTATTTGTAAGTGACAAGTAGGACTGTTCCTCTACTTGCGGAAATTCTTTACCCTTTATTTGAACATAAAATATTTATCAGGAAACTGATGCAATAAGACTTACTTCAGGTCCCATTTGTCTGTGCTATTTTCAAATCCTGAATATTCTGTCATATCAATGCAATTAGTCTCTACTAAACCAGGGGTTAGCTTGACATGATACGCATATAAAAGTCAAGAATATATGTAAGCCTCAACTAAGTATTTCATCTTTCTCTTCATATTCCAATTTATTATATAATCCCAGTCTTCAGCCATAGATGTCTGAAATCTTGCTTTAGTGAAAGACGAGATTTTAGTGAATAATTTGCCAGAAATAATTAAACCTTGGTACAATTTGAGAAAAACAATTTCAAATAAGGAAATGAGTTATCCCATGGCAAATCAGGAAACTTAATTAAAAAATAGTTGTCATTCATGCTGCTTATCTGGGTAACCATAACTAGAAAAATGAAACACGAGCAGTTCTGCCCATACAACCTTACTGGGTATTAAAATGTGACTACCTATTCTACTGGCTGCAGGCAGAAAATTCTTTGTAATTGTTATCATGCATTTAATATGTTGTTCAAAACTCCTTTCTGTGTGAAGCTTCATATACTTCACTGTATTTTCCCACACTGTGGGGAATTCTATAGAAGCAGCCCTAACATGGCTTGAACACTTGAAATCAGCAGAACAGGATGCCTATAACCACAGCCAGGATCTAAGGTTTCTCAGAAACAAGCTTTTCTGGGGTTACAGGAAGAAGGTGGGTAATGAGAGGTGTTCTTTGAAAACGTAACATCTTTGTGAAAACATGTAAAACTAGAACTTCTTTAAAAAAAAAAATCAGTGAAATTTGCATTGATGTGTTATCAGTAATCCCTAACATTATCTGTTTCTCCACAAAATGATCTAGTTTTTATGCAGCAGCATTTTTCCCTCTAAAATGAAGAGACAATGTCTGCAATTAAAGATGCAACAATATAAATATGAAAGCATACAGCAGAGCAGTAAATTAAAGCCAGCGGTGCAAAGACAAGTGGTCTCAGACAGTGGGATGTTGTGCTCCAAGAAATCACTGCTACCCGCCTCTTGGCGGGTATCCTCTCCGCAACTGCAGCTGGAGACTTCTCGGAGATCTTCATCATGCACAAAAAAATTCTTGACATAATTGAGGTTCCTCCTAAAATGCACGTGTGTTTGCAGCAAGGACGTAGCTCAGGATTCTGGGAAAGCTTTTATGATGGTTTCATAGGCAGGAGGTGGGGTTTGTGTGGAGTGGCAGATGCGGAGGCTATTGTTGGACCAGTGGAATTCAGGTCGACTCAAGCTGTTGGTGGTGCTTCCCACAAGCGTTGTGGTGGTATTTGTGGGAGTGAGGGTGATCAGCTGACTGTTCGTCTCCACAGGGAGGGGAGGACACTGCAGAAAAGGGTGGAAGGTGGACGCACGGAAGCTCGACTTCCTGGGGAAAGAGTTGGCCTGTTCCAAGGAGGCTTGACGCTGGAAGGTGAGGCTGGCCAGGCTGAGGTTGCTCCGACGTTCACAGCTGCTATTGCGGTAAAATCCAGTCCTGCCGGTAGCGTGGCCGTGGGAGGAGGGTCTGGACCGACGGCTGAAAGCTGAGGGGCTCCCCTGGGAAATGTGGGCACTAGCTCTGCGACGGGACAAGCAAGTGAACAATGCCCAGATGATCCCTCCAATCACAAGTCCAATCACCATGGACACTGTGAAGGCTATCAGTATCTCATCTGAAATACAGCAAAAATGAGCATCAAAGTTACTTTGTTAACTCTGAAGGATATTCCTGCGAGAAAATTAATCAAAAATGGCAGCCTTCTTAAAAGATGAACAAGCCCTTAGACCTTTGTATAAATGCATGAACTTCACAACACAAACAGAGCAGAGTGCTCTTACTATGCAGTATTTTGGTGGTTTGTGGTTTGTGTGTGTGGTTTTTTGTTTGCTTGCTTGTTTCATTTGCATAATTCAACAACACCCATAAAATAACACTACATTTAATATGAATTTCTGTACCAAGGAAAGGAAAGTCTTTAGCCTTTCCCAGAATCAGCCACCCACCAGCTCCGAAGTGTGTTATAAAACTGCCAAGTATTTGCTTCTGTGGGCAATAGGAGGTGTGGATTTATGCAGTCTTGTTCTTCTGTTTATAGATGTTTATGTTCTATGTATACATGTTCACAAATTCACCTATTAAAACAGTGATGTACCTTCTGCCATGTTCTTAGTGGAGTAAGCCCAGTATTTATTACATGAGAACACTTCCTAGTCTTTTACTGCTGAGTAATGAATAGTTTAAATCCTCATAATAATTCATGTAAACGATTATTCCCTAAATTATTATGGTCAGAGATAACCATTTGTAATACTAAGTCTCTTCAATCTTTCCTACCCCCAGTGCCCAATTTAAAGATGTATTAATCTGCCATTAAAAAAAGTAAATTTCTAGCTCTTTCAGAAATTTTTTCAAGGATTAAGAGATCTGAAAACAAAAACACCACAACCAACAACAAAAACCCCATGACTAGGATTTTTTTCTCTCCCATGTGGTTTCCCAGGATGGAGGAATTTGATTTTTCCTTGTATTTTTCTAAGAAGAGGACAGTTACTTCAGAAAACTTCACTCAGTTTGCAACTGAACACCAGCTTTATTGATAGTCCAAAAAGTTCAGAGACATATTTGTAATCCTGGATGAGGCCTAAAATGAATGCAAGACATTTATAGATCCCCTTAAAATTCAAGAAGGGCTTGGATCTCAAACAAGAAGGAACACTGTGCTGACAATTGGTGGAGCAAAGACGGAATAAGCAAAGAAGATCCATGAGGAAACTTCTTCTGTCTGTGCTGTACTTTCATGTTTGTGAAGCACTGCTGTTAAAAAAGAAAATGCATTTATTACATAGAGAAAGGTAAGTAACTCCTACAGCACACCCAAGCACAGGCCAGATGACACTGTGCCTGACTGATCACCATAACAGCAGGTGGTAACTCCAAGACTGGAATGAAGGCATTAGAGCCCGAACAAGGCAAGATGAGACCAGGTCCAGAATTTTCTTGCAAGGTAGCAGCTGTTAAAGTTTCCCCTGAATTTATGGTAATGTGCAAACAGTCATTCCCAATACACAAAATAATGACAGCGAATCTGAGATGTGGGATTTGGCTAAAGCAGCTGCTGAAGAGGTAAAGAGAGTGAGGGATGTCTATGAAGAGCAGTCAGAACACTGCAGAGGGGAGGACAGGTGCCAAGTAGGGCCAGCAGGACTGACTTGCAGACAGAGGCATCTCAGTATTAGCACCTGGGAACAGATTCCTTTGTTTAAGTTAGCCTTAAACTTAGAGCATGTCACTGCAGGAGAGGGGAAAGAAACATTTCCTTTGCTTCCAGCAGGGGAGATGTAAATGATTATTTGTTAACTGTGTTTTAAGAAGTAGTCATTACTGTCTTCCTTATCTACCTTCTTACTTTTCTTCCTTCAGTGAAAAATTGCTAGTGATGTGATTCATACTTGAAAGGCTATACAATCCTACTGTTCCTTGCTTGTAAACTCTTCTTTCAGGTAGGCTTATAACCATTATCCTTTTCAAATAAAGAGTGGCAAGGATAACACATTGGTTATTTTTGCACAGAACTTCTCCCTCTCAGGAACACTTTGTTGTGCTTTCATTCAGACATGGATCAGACTTGATCCAAAAATACAATTTTGCTTTCAGCCCTCAATTTTACAGCTACGAAACTCTTTACTGGGCACACTAAAGGCAAAGGGTCATTGCCCAGTCTACTTCTTGCAAGAACCCACAGGCAGCCTCCTGTACTGCAACTCCTGGCTGCAGATCAGAGTTCCATCACCATAAGTAGCCTTCGTCTCCCAAACTCAATGTTACTCTGCCCTGTATAAAAGATCTTAAGAGACATAGCAATACTTACTGAGCCCCTTTTGGTCAGGAATATCTTATTATACCATTTTAATGGATTTAATACATTCTGTTACTGCAAGTTCCTACTCATATTCCCAAAGGTGGGAAGGGAGAGCCAGGACTTGGTGACCTCTAGCTGAATAAATCCCAGGATTCCTGAAGACAGTGTTTCCCACGCACTAGAGCTGCAGTCTGAGTACCCCTACTGTTATCCCTATGTGGCTATGGGAAAGTAGAGCAAGAACTAATCCTTTCTTGTGCTGATTTCTTTTGCACTTCAGCTCAAATGCTAGTTAGGTTACTATATTCAAGGCTGCCAAGGAATCCCCCAGACACCGGTCTCTGTGCTGCCACCGATATCCCTGCAACTCTTTGGACTTTCAGCTGGTGAAGGGAATCTCCACAGGGCTCAGCAGCCTCGAGCATAAGAAGATGCACAGCAAGCCACAGAAGTGTACCTGGCTCTGGGGTTGCCATGCACCATGGTGAGGATTTGTCCCTGTATCCTTCTAGCCATAATTTTCACCACCTGCACAATCAAACTAGAGTTTCACACTGTTAAAAGTAGATGAGGGAATTGACAAAAGTATTGAGTGCAGCTCTTCAGTCCTTCCCACGTGCTGTTCCCCTGTGCTGAAGGTACAGCACAGACAATTATCCCTTTGGATAATGTCTTCATTTTCTTTTACTTCTTTAGTTCTTTTATTTTTCTATCTCTATATATGAATGTCAAAATAGAGGATAAATTTATTTCCTTGTGAAACTCAGCTGAGTTTACACTGACTATTGTGGTTGCTGTAGAGGACACCAAATGCTCTCTTTTCCATTTGGACCTACATTTAATCCCTTTAGTTCTTAATATAGAAATATCACTAGACCCATTGGTTACAGACATTTAATTTTTTTCTCTTTCCAAAATCTCACTGACTTCAGTTGGAACCATGGGTCACACTAATAGGTCAAACTTGCTCTTTGCTCACTCCCTGTAGAGGATGAATTTTACTGAAAACTTGCATTGAAGAATTGTAAATCTATGCCCATTGATTTACTCTTTAAAATGTCCAGCAATCACAGCTCTGAGGTACATTGGAGAAAATACTATTAAACAGAGAAAAAGATCAAAGACAGAGTGGGACTTGCTGCACCTGGGATCTTGAGGGGAGCCCTAAATTGTTTTTCTCTTCCTTAATCTGGGCAGTGCCAGAGCAGAAACAGCCTTTCGGGAGAGTCAGAGAGGTACTGACAGATGGTGTCCCCCAAGGGGCCATTAATATCTTACAGTTTCTTATGAGCTGTGCATGGCACACTATGCTCTGCTTTTAAGGAAAAGAATAAAAAAAAAGATTTGTGGATAAGGTAGGGATGCTGCCAATAACAAAAACTACCCAGGTGCTAGTCCTCTAAATATGTTTTGTTCTGAATGTTTCTCAGGCAGCTCACACTGCCTGCTTTATTTGATTTTGTCATAACTGAAAAGATTTGGTACCCTACCTCAATCAATTCTCCACTTTCACCTCTATCACCAGCTGAAGTGAAGGACAAAGGCTTTTATCAACAACGCAGGACAGACTTTGGGTACAAAGCCAGGAATGAAAGGATAAGGAAAGGAAGCAACTGATCACCTTAGCTATCCTACCTTTCTGTCTTCGGTGCTCCTAATGTGACCATGCAAAAAAGTTGAAATTCAGAACCCACAGTAACACCAATAACATCTGAATGTTACCCCCATATCTGAACATCAAGTCAGCATGTTTGTCAGCCCAGTATCTATCCATATCAGGCAATTATTTCTGGAGTCTCTCTGATTCCTCCTCTCTGGTTTTTGCATGCAGTGTTAAACAAATGCAGTGTTACACTACAGGTTTGTACAGGGGATTATTGCTTCTGCTGTGCAAACCTTTTTCTTGGTTGCTCCAGGATTTCATAACTTTTCATGAACTATATATTTGAAGTGATAGCATATATCCTATCAAATTAATAACCTCTAGTAATAGTCTATAGAATCCACACAGGAGGAATTCGAACATGTTATTAGTAAAGATGATAGACTGTCTGATAAAATATTTTTCCCAGCACTTGGCGCTGAAGCAAGTTCTTCCCATCTAGCCTGGACATTTGAAACAAGACGAACCAAAGGGGGCTCATACCAATCTTTAAGTCTTCTCAGGAGTGGGTTATGTTATATTCTTCCTCGCTTTGGGGCATACCTCACCAAAAAATAGCAACACAGTCCCTACCTGGACTTTCAGTTCCTGAAATACCCAAAATCTTTTTTGCCTTTTGTGATGGAGTATCCTGCTTCTATCATGTAGTCTTGCAGGTTGCTTGCACACATATTTTGTCAATCTCACTTCTGTGAGAGTTTCATTTTCCTTTCAGGTGTATGAACCACATCAGATAGCAAGATATCCCTTTGATTTCAAAACACATTTGCATTGGGGATTAATTTTCCTAAGGAATCTCCTCATGCCCTCAGTTCTGGCTGCAATGAACTGGAATAGCATTTGTTCCTTGAACTCAGGAAATCCTTTTGACTTGCCTGTTTCCTATCCCTTTATGATAAGTTTCCCAAGGTGTAAAGCTAAGGTGGACATAGGGTCTTCCTTCTCCCATGCTTACAAATATATATACTTGAAAACTTTACAGCTAGCCAAGTGTATCAAGGGATAGTACTACCTTTCAAAACCATGTAAGTAGCAGATTCAATGAGAGCATCTCAGAGAAACAACCAGGATGGGGCGGAGGAGCAGAGGACGAAGTACTGAATGCAAAGGAAAGAGAAATGGAAAAGCATCTTTTGTCAGGCTGTGCACA